GCTGCAGCTGGACATGCACGAGGAGCTGTGGGAGCCCAGCCTGACCAACAGCGAGTGGCCAGAGAGGCTGCTCGCAGTGGAAGTCTCTGAGGTTACTGTCCTCTTGAAACATCTAATCAGTTCACAGAGGGTTCAGAGAAAGTTCAGGGGACAAAGCATCTGTACAAGTTGAACTGCTCGTTTGTTTGTTTGTTCTTTTACCAAAGTGTGAAATGGTGTGTGGTTTTTGTCTTATGAGATGTCAACTTTGTCCAACTCCAGATAAGAGCTGAACGGTACCTCACAGCGGAGCAGAAAGAAGAGGAGGAGAGGAGAAAGCTGGAGGAGGAACGTTGTTTGGCTGCCCAAGTATGCTGCCACAAAACAAAAAAAAAATGTTTTTGTTTTTCGGTTTTTACATGTTAAAATACTTCCATAAAGGATGATTGCTTCGATGGTGAGGATAGCTCAGTTCTGCCATGTTAATGGGTTTTGTTGTTCTATTGTTCAATTGCAGGCTGATGATTCTAGAGAAAGGGCTCTTGATGACATGATGGATGGAGTACTTGAAGTGAAAAAAGAGGACATCTTGAAAATGGTGACCATCAAAACATTTTTTTAAGACATTAATGCTGAAGTAGACCAGTAGACAGCAGAACACAGTATGAAATATTATCTACTCACTTCTTTGATCAATCTGTTAATTTTGAGATTGTCTCCAAATGCAGAATACAATTAAATATAAAATAGAGTTTTATGTTAAATGAACTGGTACCTATGAAGTGCCCTTCTCCTCTTAAGCCCGATTCAACCGGGCTTAAGAGGAGAAAAAAAAAAACAGTATAGTTATAAACACACACACATTCATGTAGCACTTTATTCTGTGCCTTTGAAAATCATGCTTCAGCACCTTGACTATTGCCGCTTTGACATGCGGACTAGAGTAGCCAGGAATTGAAACACTGACTTTTTAATTGTTAGATGATCTGCTCTCAAGTGGGAAGACGGGGTTTCGGGGGTATATGGTTGAATAAGACATTTGAATGCTGTTGTAGAATGTAATTCAATTTAAAAAAACAGAAAACCAAACCAAAACAGTCTTTTAAGTGAGAAGATAATATAAATAAATACAACATGATGTACTTAGCTATTTAAAACTATACTGTTTTTTAATTACTGGTAGTTATAGATAATAATGTATTCTGTAATTAGATAATATAACATATTAGAAAGCTGGTCCACATCTCATGTCTTTGTTTCATATTACATACAGTCTAGCCAGATGAACCACGTGTGTGTGTGTGTGTGTTAATGATGTCGCAGGATTTCTTTCTTTTTTTTAAAACTTGAATTCTTTTCTAAGCAGCGTCAGTTAAATTAGACAAATGAGCAAGAAGGGCACATAGTTTCTATTGAATTTACTCCACAGGAAATACCTCTGCCTGAGTTTGTTTTGACCAAACCTGACATTCAGTGGAGTGAGGAGGAGAAAAAAGTTTTCAAAGAGTATGAAAAGAAAGCCAAGGAGCTCAGCGAGGAGAAGGAGAAGTACAAAAAGGTATTACATAAGATGCTCTTTTTGCACTGATCTGAATTATAATTCACTCCTGATGTGAATGGTAACAGTCTGTGGCCTGTGTTGTTGCAGCTACTGGAAATTGAAATAAAAAAGCTTCACCAGTCCACCAAGGAAGCGACCGAAAGGTTTGATGAAAATCTGGCAAAGCTGTTAGAGAAGAAAGTGAACTGCACAGTAGCTATATACCAGGTAAGCCGTCTCTTCTCATTTGCCCCTTGCAATGTCTTTTATAACATCCTGCTTAAAATTGGTTTCGGTGTATCTTACAGGAAGAGCTCAAGATCACATATCTCGTTGAGTCAGTCCTCAGAGAAGAAGAGATGAGAAGCCAAGAGCAGGAGCTCAAGCTCCAACTTGAAAAAATGTTGGCATACAAGGTCAGAAAACTGGTGCACAGTAATGCTGTAGGAATTTATGAGTGCCAGCTTCACACTCTGTTCTTTGTGAGAAATGGCAGCAACATCATCCAAAACTGTAGAACAAAACCTTCTCTTCGTTCAGGCATGTTTTTTTAAGAGCTAACCTGTGTGGCACACTCATTTTGTAGGCTTCAAGACTGCTTATCGCTAATTTCCATACATGCTCGTCTCCTCTAAAATTGGTTCCTCTGACAGGATGAAACTGAGGAGAGGTTGAAGAAGCTGGAAGATGAAGTAGAGTTGTTACAGGAGACGTATGACAATGTTGTCCTTGAAGACAAAGTAAGCCAGCTGATTAAATACCGTACTAAAATCATGGCTGAGAGAGATGGCAAACATAACACAATATAGTAACCTAACGTCTGTGTCTCTGAAGTCGCTGGATAAAGACTTCAGGAGGGCATTTTCAGACCTTCCGAGCCATATGGTCGATTGCCTCTATAAGATGTTCAAACGCAGACCCAGGTTTGTTTCCTGATTGATGGCTACGCATGAAGAAAATTACATAATTTGAGTTGTAAACTGTTTATCGTTTTTTGTGGGCAAATTTTCACCCCACAGGGCTCAGAAGATGAGGGCCCAGATGGACAACAGCAACAATTCTGACCCGTTTAAAGAGCATCATCTGTGTGGTTCTCAGGCCCCTGATGCATTCAGCCAAATGCTCAGAGCTATGGACGAACTGGACGCTCCAGCGAACATACCAGAGGGCTTGAGCACAGTAGCCTGGGAGAAATTCTGTCACGTTCGCAGAGCTAAAGTAGAGAGCGAGCAAAAGGTATGACGACGAGGAGAGGTTAAATATGGAGGAGAGTTGCTGTTCCATTAAGATATGCATAAATGTGCACAATATCTTACTCCGGCTCAACTTATGAATAGATGTAAAAAACAACTATTTCCATTCTGTGCTTGCAGTCATGCACTCACTGCTGGACACGTCTTTTTCAGGTAAAAACAAAAGCTTTGACTCTCGCTGAGATGCAGGCGTTCCTGCAGAAGAAGAGAAATGAGGATAAAGCTGCTCAAGAGGAAATTAAAAATCTTTCTAAAGCGCTTGAAAGGTATAAATCAGATTTTTCACTCTGATTCCAAGCAGTTGTAAAACAAGCCTTAAACTTAATGACTAGTGTAAGTACATTAAATCTATTTTTTAATGGAAGAATGACCCGTGAGTGCTCCCCCCCCCTTCTGCTGTAGTCTGCACCGGAGGAGGACTGATCTCCTGATGGACACCATGGTCCAGATAATACTTAAACAGGGACAGGTGGAGGTGACTACCACAGACCCAACTGCTGACAACGCAGACACCGACTTCATGCTTTACCACAGGAGCGTCGTGGACAACCTGAGAAATGTCATCAGGGTCAGCCTTTTCCTACTCTCATCACAAAGAATTTGATTTGATTCAAACCAAATTGGTCAAATTCAGGTGGTTATGGTGTCGTTGCCTGCTACTGATTATTATCGCTATGCTCAGACACTTGCAGAGCAGAAAATAACATCCATGGTGGCGTGCAAAGACGTGCGTAAGGGCATGATCCAGCTGGAATGGGAGAACAAGGTGATGAGGAAGCAAATAGAAGACCTCTACGACAAGGAGAAGAATATCAAGATGCTACGACTCTCAGAGGAGCAGCAGAAAATGACAGTAATGTAGATTCTAAAATATGCTAACACTGCCTCTTTTTAAATGTTTTATTCTAAACTAAACTGAGACAGTGAATAGGCATTACGCTGTATAATTCCAATTTATGAAAACGTTCAACATCTGCTTAAAATAATAACAAAATGTCTGCGTTTGAGGTTAAACATTAATCCCATTTGCATTTCTGGCCAAACCTCAGGCGGTGATATGAAGGCAGGTATTTGGCAGCATCACATGTTTTGCGGGCAGCAAATTGTTACCATCCTCCAGCACAGATGGATGATCTTTTATTGAAGACACACACCCTATTCACGCCAGCTCCCCACCCTGTTTTTTTCCCTTTTTCAGCTCTTAAAACTCTTACTCAATAGGCGGAGACTGGTTGGAAGATTATCCTGTCCTTCCGTTCTTTTTTTTTTAAAATACGTTTTACTTTGTTTACAACCTAATTCGCATTGAACACGAGTAATATCACAAGTTAGAGCGCTGCAGTTGAGAAATAAAAAATACAGATCAAATGAGTCATCCGTCATCTTATTTTTAACAAGTCAATGAGCATCGCATGTGTTTCCAGGCCTGAATGCCAGCTTCCGTTGGAAAAAAAAACTTCAGGTAGATCTTTGGTGGCCATTTCCTGCCATTGTTCAAGCCCATGAAACCAACCAACTAAATCCAAAGTTTTATGATGAAGGTGTTTTACTTCAACTGTTGTTGGATGCTGATTTTCTGTTCTTTCACTGCACACTCTTTTCTTTTCAGCATCGCAGCAAGTCAGATCAAGAAAGTCACACATCCAAGCAGATTTCCAGTTTGGAGAAAAGTATTGCCTTGATGGAAATGGTAATAAAACAGTAGCTACATGTGTGTAATTTGTGCAGCTGACTGTTCAGATAAAATGTGCATTTTTATTTCAATTTTATGCAATTATGCAAATGCAATTATTTTTAATTTCAGACTCATAAGAAGAGTGTGCAGCAACGCTTAAGAAAGATTGAACAGTTAAATAAGCGGGCAGCAGCAAAAGCTAAAAAGAGCGCCGATTTAGAACAGCAGCTCCCTGAAATGCAGGTCACCGTGTCAGAGTTGAGACACATCTGCAAAGCAGCAGGTAACGAAAACAGCCATTTCAGCTCTAATTAAACACAATGCAAATGGGAGTTTTCTTCATCTTCTAGCATGTTTGGTATTTAGCTATGGCAGAAAATGAGGCTGCTGCACGAGAAGAGCGCTACCAGGAAATCGTTAAGAGGAGCAAGTTGAAGGAACTCGCCAGAGCTCAGGCAGAGAACCTGGCTTTCCTTGGGGCAGAAGTTGAGCGTCTCACCATGAAGAACTTTCCTTCGCTTGATCAACTGAAACACTAATGAGCAAAGCTTTCTTCTTCAACAGATTTTTACGGTTTTATTTAAGCTTCTCTCAGCAGATAAATTGAACATAAAGTGTACAACTTGAACTGTAGCAGCAACAAATTAAACAATAAACAGGACATCTGAAATGTGATTGTTCCCCTGTAACATTTTATTAGGTAGTGAAGTCGTCCTCTGTGCGGTCAAAGTGCAGAATGCTCTCATCCAAATTGAACAGGTCAATCAGCTCAGACAAGCTGGCTTTTCGTCCATCAATAGGGACTTCTGATTGCAGTTCATACAGCGCAGCTTGAGCACAATGCCGCCACTTATCAATCAATGTTTGGAGATGAGTCAAATCATTCTGTGGGAGAAAGATGGGAGAACCTGTCGTGAGAAATTGCCAGCTTTGGTTTAAGTAACCAAAAACATATCCCATTATGTTCCATTTAAATGTCGCCAATACCTTGCTTCTGTACATTTTAACCATCTTGAGTCTACGTAGAGTCTCTGTTTTGTCTTTCACCTCCTTCCTGAGACGTTGTGCAAAGTCTCCTGAAGGATATTGTGTTGATTTGGGAGCAGGCCCAGACAACGTTTTACTGCCTTCTCTCTCCCCATTTCTGTTTACATCAACACTGCTTAAAACCACTGGAGGATTATTAACGGGCTGCTGGGAATCTGCTGAAACTTGTTGGCCATTCTCCTCATCATCAACACAAAGGCGTTTGGCCACAGAGAGGGGAGAGATGAAGGAGCGCCTGGATCTCTTCAGCCTCTCCCTCAGTGAGGCACTCAGCTTCGGTTGATGCTGTGGGGGTGACAGGAAAGAAAATGACTCACAGGGAAAGTGCATGGGCAAGTTTTGATAGTTAATTACAAAAGTTCCTATAAAGTCAACCATCATGCCAGGTTATATTATGTAAGACAAATGGTGCTTAAGCCCTTCTAACACCTTACCTTCTCTTTGTAGTCACACGGGCTTGACTCTACTGAACTACATGGTGAACAACAGTCCCTCTGTAATTTAGCTGCTTTAGGTGTGATCTCCATCGCTGAAACTTGCTTTGAATCATGTAAACTTCATAGTTTGGAAGGGTAGTTTAAGTTAGCCAAGTGGATATCGTTAGCTAGGCACTTATCCATTTATCACATTTTAACAGACGCGGCTGAAAAAACAAAACTACTTTCAGCACTTACAGTAAATGAAGGGTTGTTAAATGCTGCTACAATAACCACTGAGCAGCCAACAACTTTCACTAAACGCAGACTGAATCAGAAAGCTAGGACCGACGCGAGACTTTTTCCGTATTTTGCGGCTCGAAACCTTCGCAGTCTGTGATTGGATAGAACGTAATGACGTATTACAGAAACGCATCTTGGGAGCTGTAGTTAGTATAACATGTAAGGCACAAAATGTTCTTTGTGCCTTAAATCCGGTGTTTTCATGATATTTCTCAAACTTACAATAAATCCGTATGATTATATTGACTCGCTCTTCTGCTTTGAGAAAATTATACATGCAAAATTAGTTAAGTGTTCCTAAAAATAATTTTTTTGAACTTGAAAAAACCTGCTGGAAATACAGGTTACTTACAGTAAAACTAAATAAAGTCAGGTAATTATAAGAAGAATATTAGAGCAAATTATATTTCTCATTAGATTTTAAAGGATAAAGCGTAACATTCAAGAAGTAAGGACTTCCAGTGAAATTAAACTCAACTATGCTGCTTTACAAAATAAAGTGCCACAGGAAACACAAAGTAAAACTGATTTGTGTGGACTGTTGACAGGTTTAGTGCTGCTTGTCACCCTTGTTGCTAGGGTCGAGTCACATTGTGATTCAGCTCTTCTCATCAGTTGATTCATTTCCTTTAATGGGCTTATTTTTAACTCCTCCAGACCGATCCATTCATGGTTTGTTTGGGATGGCGTTCAGATGTTTGCGATCACCTGCTTTTTTTTCTGCTGCCTTGAGGATAAAAAGTGGGAATTAAAACGTGAGGCTGCCTGGACTTGAACTTCAGCACTTGGCAGTCTGATATTACACACCTTAGGGATCTGGGGATTTTTGTCATATTATATGGATGAATGTTGCAGGGCTGAAAGCTGCAGTTAATTACTATGTGTGAGTCAGGAGACAGTTTTCAGTGGTTTTTTTTTTTACTTTTGAAAACTTGACAAAAACTCTGTGCTCAGTCCCCAGCAATATGGGTAGCAACAGAGCCAATGTGAGACAGCGAACGCAGGTGCCATGTCTTTCATCAAATACAGGTGTGCAGGCTGGGCACTCTTAAATATAGACTCTAGCCATGTTTTTGCATGCTATTGTCCCCCTTACTTAAATTATAAGATATGGTCAGCCTTTTGCTTCCCCTTTTCCAGTGGATTAGACGCTACTGGGCTGTGCACAGACTGTCACTTGACTTTGGCTGAAAGGGTGTTTTGTATTTTGGGTTAGCGGGTTATTTTGATTTCACAATCCGCTGTGTGCTGGTTTCCCTTTAATGCGTTGCCAATGAGCCTCATCTGTAAAACACTTCCTTATCTCCCCTCCAAGGTTTACATAAACAGCACATAAAGACCAGTAAACTACAGTCTGACACAGGGGCCACAATATGGGGACACACAGGTGATAAAAATCACCTGGCTAGCAGCGAACTTGAGGCCTCCTGACATTTGGTGTCACATTTTCCACTCACTTTCCATATTTATCCAAAGAAGGAAAAGGACAGGTGTTATTAATGGCAGCTCCTTTCTGTTTAAGTGTCCCAGTCAGAGTCACAGTGTCTGCAACACTCTCACTGTCAAACTGAACGGTATCAGTGCCCTGAAACCCAAGACCTATCTGGACCATAGCCATCAGTAACTTTGATTTACACTTGTTCTTTTCTCCTGCGAGACGGTAAAGTGTCTGCTTGTGAAAAAGGATGCAAAAATAACGTGGTTTCAAAATCAAAGTCAATTTGACCTTTAACCTGCAGTAGCTCAGTGATGGCTGTACGAGTTGGATGACTGTGGTTGTTACGAATCCTTCCTGATGATCCCCCTTGAAATAGCGACGTGTCATCTTTCACTGTCAAAGACTGAAGCAATTATGTTGACCACATAGATCAAAACCCACATTCCTTTTCAGAAATAATAGTCTTTTCATTTTGGAAAACAAAATAGTCCCAAGTGTGTCTCCCTGTGTTAAGGTCATGCTCTTTGTGTTGCTTCTTTTATACAATGAGTTTATTGTTCTGTTTTTCTAATGGTGCATATGATTATAGCCTTCATTTAATGTTCAAATATCCATCCATCCATTTTCTCAACCACTTATCCGGTTCAGCAGGACTGGATCCTGCAGTACTTTCAAGTCATCTACGGATTATATTCTCATTTAACTGCTAAATTATTAGGTCTTGGAAAAGAACTAAACAAAGTTTCCTACAAGAAAATATCAAATCACTTATTTAGTTCAGCAAACTCTCCCAAAACCAAAGAACGGTGCAGGCTATAATCAGAGATGGCACTAGCTGTAGCTGTAGAATATTTGGTGCTTGAAGTATTAATTATAAAAATAAATGGCGGTTATTTTTCTGTAAGTCCGCAGAATCAAAATGTTTACGGCTCAGGAGTTTTACAAGTGAGAAGAAAACCAATAAAAATCAGGAGGTTTATAAATAAACTATTACATGCTCTGTCTCTCTCTTTTAAATTTGCATGCACTTTCTCTGAGCCAAGTATCGTCAGAAGTTCCCTCTTGGTATTTATTTATTATACCGGAGAGGTTTACTAGCTCAACTTAGAGCAAAGCCTGATGTCTGTGCAAAGTTGAACCTCAGCTTCATCTCTTCAAACACCTCAAAATGCCAAGCCAGTCTGTTGAGGTTTCCCTTAAATCATCTTCTATAGTTAAATACAAATTATGCCAGCAAGAAAAAAAAAGTCCATCTTTCAGCTCTGTAAGTGCTGACTCCTTTACAAAGAGAACCAATAATACTCCTTCAGAAAACCTAATTTGTACTATTTTTCTGTCAAGAACATTTAATCATTTATGTGTACATGCCCGGTTATCCTAATAAACCCTGAACAAGATTTTTTCTTTTAATTTTTCTGCTGTGTAAACATTGTTGAACTTCCTGTCAAATCTTTTGAAGCTGTTTCCCCCTCTCTTCGAACGAATAATAAGAGCTTATCTGGAACAGCTGTTATCCTCAACACAAACAGGAGTGTGTTTCATACAAAAAGGCTGCACAGGCCAGTCTGCTGCAGCTCCCCCCCACCATCCTGGAATCTGTTGCTTTCCCTTAAGATTTGGCATTATTCAAACTTGCACATAGATGTGAGCGGAGCAGCAGCTCCTCCTCCGTTACACTGTCCTTGGGGCCATTTCTTTTCCATCCTTTGAGCAGATTAGAGTCATACTCGCTGTGAGTCATGCAGGGTGGGTGGATGTCTGCACAGGGTGTGGTGGGTGAGGGAACCTACTGGCGCTTGCGGCTGCCAGTGTAGAAATAAAACATCTATAATTTAGCTGCAAAATTGCATAAATGTAAATGAATGGATGGAGAACTTTTATTATTATCATGCAGTTAAAAACAGCTCGTGTGTCCTCTCATTTGGTGACTGCACGTGGTGGAAGCTGTTGATTTCTTCTGAAGTCTATCAGCAGTGTCACATGAAAACTATCAGAACTCCTAATCTGAGCAGTAAACAGGAAAGGCACAAACTGATGCTGAAACAGCTGGATTTAAAAAAAAAGCTGAGGAGCCTTTTACGCAAACATTGCAGTCAGTTAAAGTCACCCGACTCCAGCCTTGTGCTTTTAATTTTAAAACGTTGTAAAAATACTGCTTGGTTATGTAATAACAGTTGCTGAAGCCATAGGATATAGATTAAATGCTCTGTTTCTTGTTCCAAAAAATGCGCACCAGATGCGTTCCAGATGCAGCAGGATTGATTTGTAGCCCACACTAGATCAGCAGACCCCGAAATGGCTGCACTGCTATCCAACAGCAGGAAAGAGAAGGTGGTGGTGGGGGGGAAAAAAATCCTACCTCCCATATCAACCCCTTCCCACCTCCTCTCAAAACTTTACCAGTTTCGAAAAGTAAGGCTAAAGCGCTGAGCAGTAGCAGCAGCAGGAGGAGTTCATCACTTTTCCTTTTCACTGTCGAGTATCTGTGCCTGTTAGGCTGAGTCTGACAACTTAATTGGTTCCCTCGGGAGCTCTTTTCTTCTTCTTCTTTTTCTTCTTCAAATTCAGCTTTTCGTGCCGTCTGCCACACCTGCCTGCCAAGCTGATGGGCGCGGCTGGGACCGGTGCCAAAATCTCTGTTTTTACTTGCCTGGGAAAGTTGAGCGAAAAGACACAATAGGATCGAGGACTTTAAGAACATCCCCGCACGACGCGTCAGCTTCACATAAACACATTGTTCCTCCGGTGGTGGATCAGTCGCTCCATCCTGGGAGAAATCCGTATTTGATCGGTACTTGTTGGAAGTGGCTGAAGGTATGGATTTCTTTTTGTTTTGTTTTGTTACAATGCAGTGCTCTGAAATAACTTGGAGACTTTAAAGGGGGTGGGGGGAGAAGGGGAAAGTTGTTTAAGGTGGATGTTGCGGATGTTTCTTCCCACCTGGCTGCTGCATCTCTGCACTAACTGCGCTCTGGGAGTTTGCTGATGGGCTGTCAATCTTTTTTTGGGCGTTTATAGGTTGGAATTGTTATAGTCTTCAAAGTTCTCCGCACATACTTCTTGGCTTGTATGTACAATCCATTGGAGGGGTTTTTTGGGGATCATTTTTCGGTTATAGTGATCTCAGGATAGTTTTACACATTCTCCTTTTGCTGTGCTATTTAGATCCGTCTAAATATACCAGTGGCTCCGGCCTTTCTGGAGCATCACGCTTTAACTGACACGTGCCTATATTTGCTGCTCAGATCAGTTACAGCCTATGATAAGTAACTGGTTTTTTTTTTTCTTTTTTACAAGCTTCAAGCTAAAAGGATAACAAGGAGTGGATTTATTGGGAGAAATATCTTCACTATTAACTTTTCTCACAGCAGTAAAAGCAGCATAAATGTGTTACTGGGCACAGGTAGAAGCTGTGGTTTCAGCACCACGTGGTACAGGAGAAAAGTAACAAAAAGGGCATCTTATGAAGTTTCTCTGCATTGCTGTTTCTAAATAACCTGAGTGTAGATGAAGCACATGCAGTTAAATGCCCTTAGTTGGCTGGCAGGGTGTGGTGAGAGGATGGTCTTTCAGAGCTGAGCGGTGATCCACCAGACTCCTTTGTTCCTTTGTGAGTTTGCTCGTCAAAGAAACAAAAGTAAATAGAAAGTCTGCTGAAA